CCCTTCCATGTTATTTCCGTCATGGCAATCTCGTCCAACCTCTAATTTTCCTACTTCGAAGGAGCCATATTTTTCTCGAAATCGACAAATTCTCTAGCTTTCTCCACTACCGATGAACTATCCCCAACCTATGCTTCCACTTTTCGAATAAAAACGAGTACCTCAAAATTATCGTGAACTGCGCCTTTAAGAACTTTCTTTTCTCATCTATTCACTTACATTCTCACTCATCTTTCCCATCCCTTACGAAGGGTCACCCAGATGATCAACTATGGTTGTGAAGTCATTTGTGGAGCCACTAAACAGGACCCTTTACGTGATTAACCACGTTTCAGATGTTAAATTTTCAGCCTCCAAACTGCAATGCAATCGAAAGGCACTTCATCAGGGTGAAGGTAGCTAATACAAGTTATTAGTGTGTTTATAATGGTTTTCCTTAATTGCTTACATCACCCAGGTCTACTGATTATTAGGACAAGGTTGTCAAAGCAGCATCATACAGTAACAGCGCTGTTGCCCCAGAAAGTGAACCAAACCCACGCTATTTACCACTGAAAAGAATGCTTGATGCTGAAAAATTGCTAGAAGTTTACCGTAATTGGCTAGCTCAATGGAGGTGGCACAAGGGACGTAAACCTTTCCGAAAGGCAAACGAAACCATTACAGCAAGATATCTGCAAATTTGTAGGAATTATATTCAGAAATCCCTCCACCTCCACTTGAATTGCATTAGTTGTGAACCTCCGAGCCCATAAAGTGCGAGGTTGGTCGCAGTCAATTCACATCCACAATAACCGCTAGACTAATTGTAAGACATAGACAGATAAGATGTATTTGCCCCCCGAACGCAATTCCACCTCACGAGCACATCTTACGTGGCATCCAAACGCCAAGAGAGATCAAAGAGCTGTCTATTTTACATCAACACATTCAGAATTATGGTCCTCGAATGGAAACACTCCTGCTTGATACTGTTCAGTAATCGAATCGAATATAAACAAAGGGAACCCTAGCTACTTAATGGGTAAAGATAGAGGGGAATCGATCAGGCAAGGAAGACTGCGAAGAATGCAAAAATAAGGCAAAATTCGTGCAACACGTCAACAGTCGTAACTCACAATCTGCTCTGGAAGTACTTCCCTTTGGGGAGATTTCGTAGATCGGAATCGCTGAGCGATGCCTCGAAGAATGCTATCAGGGAGACGTTGATGCTCGAATGAGCTGGCTAAAGTTTTGGAAATTTCTTGAACCCCTTTTGGGGTGACATTGCCGTAGTCGAATCTCATAGGTTTGCCTAAGAGCGTCACCATCTTAACAGGGAAACCACCATAGATCGGGCACAGCGGCATTTTCGTTTTCTCGTATATCCATCGGAAGAAGCTGCGTCCCCAGACTAGAGTACGGAATGATTCCCGACAATTTTCAGTAAACATCGGGATCACGCACTAAAAAAACTTTTTTCAAGTTAGCGCGAAACATTTGAAGCAATAGAATTGAAACTTCTGAGAGAATGCAAAATAACAATGAATGAGGCTTGCACAAAACTTCTGTTAACACTGCTTTAGAGACTGCATCACTGTTTCACTGAGGATTGGTGGTTCACACTATTATTTGCAGCTCAGTCCCGATTTTCAAAAAGATGTACAACCAGCGCTATTATCCTTCGTGAGGGTCTGGTACCAAATCTCCTACCCAGGAGGGATGATAAGCTTTGCTACGTCTGTAATAGTTTTCGCTGCTTGCCACTACACCACCTCCGTCCATGCTTATTGCTGAATACGATCGATATCCGTCAGAGATTCACTGAAGGTCATATAATACGCGAGGTTGTCTAATAAATGAAATTACTCACCTTTCCATTCGATCTTCAGCATTCTCGATGCTGAAGCCAGGCCCCTTTGGCCTCGGCCGACACCTCACCTTCCTTCCTCGTCAGCATCCAACTAATGGCGACCTGCTTCCTCAAAGATGGGCAGCTTGGGTGCTGGTCGGGCACTCGTCACCAGGACCGACAGCTAGCCGGTCTTGGAGACGAGTGCCGACTGACTAGGGAGACGGGCAGTAGGATCGATTCTATGTGATCGATTCACTGCGCGACCATTCGCCTCGTTATTACAGTTCTCGCGTTTTTCATTAAGCCCAATGAATATGCAATTATTATTTTTGGCATGATTCTAATGTCAGTTCTTTTGTTCCTGTTTTTCTTACTTGCTGCTGCGTTCTGCTACATACCTTCGCGTGCGGCGTCTATCACACCGCGACGCGACGATTTCGATACTACTGTACCATACCCGACTGACTATGCTGCTTGAAGGAATGCGCACAACGCACGCGTCGGCAACCTCACTCATCCACAATCGTGCACTATGCACTGCGTGATCAGCCAGGGCTTTCGGTAGCAGGCAGTGTTCAAGTGACCATTTCAATTTCGCCGTACAATATATTGTAGCACGATTTACGTAACCAAATGAATCTCCACTCAAACCACTGAACCCTATGTGAGGCAATAACGTCGGTTGAAACACAGCCAGCTTCGAACAACTGTAAGATATTTGTAGCGATCGTTTTTCTCACACATTCTCTACACTGCACGGAACGTTGCGTGACTATGCCAACGATCATCAATCACCCTATAAGCACAAAGGCACAGTTCGCGAAAACTTCGGGTTTCGAGTTTTAGACAAATATTGTAAGTGATGGTCCAGTGTGGTGTAAAGAAGTACCTTGTGGATTTTTACAGCACCACTTTTTAAGCACTTGATGGAAGGTGTTCCTCAACCAGCTTGCCGACATCACATCGATGGAAAGTGTTCCCCAACCAACTTGTCGACATCATATCGACGCACATTCGTCCTGCCGAAGTTTGAACGCAAGTAAAGGGAATTTTCTGACAAGCAGGGACGGCCGGAGAAAAGGAATAGAGAAGTGTCGCGATTTTGAAGCGTACCACATGCATTAAAGACGTGAAAAGAAGAATCACGAAGTGGCACATGCAATGAAACAGACTGGACGTTACCCGAACAAACAAAAGCCGGTTTCCTGAAGGGGGTTGGGGGTGGGGGCAGGCGTGTAAAGGAGTACCTCCTGTGAAGGACTCTGAACGTAGTCATCATAGTTATGCTAATAATAAGGGCATAGTTATCGCTCCATATCTGTAGTTGACATCAACCATCACGTGATCTCACGCAATCGATTTTCGCCGCTTTTGCTTTTTCTCTCTGATCCTCCTTACTGGCATGTGCGAGATAATGGCAGGACGGAAAGTCACACGGTACGGCACCGTCTTGCTGGAAGATCACCTTTCACGCGGAGTGGTCTTGATTGGGCGGGACGTACCGTATAAAAGGCCGACCCCCAGTACTGAATGCGTTTTCTACATTCGTCTTCTACTTCGTCACTTTGACTCCAGCTGCACCCCCTCGACTTCCTAGAGTCCCAAGGGGTTCTAGCCCTGATCGTTTTTCATCTTTTTTATAACTGTTAATTCATTGTGTTGCTTAATAAATTGTTGTCGTTCGCGGCTTGACACCTGGCAAGACCCTGAGAGACACCAAGATATCATTCACTGTTCAGCATTCAGAACAGGAGATAGCCGCCTAGAAAGCGCACCGCACTCGGCACATGCCATCTTGAGAATACTCATCCCTCTTGTGAAATGAGTGAATCGAGAGGACAGCTTCGACTCTTCTGCATCTCAGGGCTTCAAACAAAACTTTGCTTTGATCATACGTGTACCTCTACGGTGGGAACTGTGCCAGTAAGCAGTTGTTTATTATCTTCTGGTATTTATTCTAGCGATTCTACCAGAGCCCGAGCTCCATTACCTGGGGGCCGAACCTCCAGTCTGGCTGTTGAGGTAAGTTTTAATCGGCTGGTTTTCGAGGAATCCCTGAATTCCAAAGGCGTAACCGAACCTAGGGCCGTCGGGAGAGCGGTGAGCTTGGATAGCTACTGGACAGACTGCTCCGGATGGTCAACTGGGGAAGAGGACTCTGTTCCATGGTTACTCAGCGGATAGTTTGCATGTCAATTACTGCACAAATTTTTTGCGTGCGCCAGGCATTACAAGCTAACTGAATGAGCATTTGCAGGAGCAATCTCCCCTGAAACTGATAGTTTCAGACCGAAAGCAGATGTCAGACGACATGAACCAAGAGCTCGAGCTTATTCTGACTGAGGCGGTAGCTGCAGACGAGCGATGGGCCGAGATGCAGCAGGAGCTGACACAGCTGGAAATCTCAAGTCAATTTGACGCAAAACAACCTGCAACAGGTGCGAGCTACGGTTAGCTGCGAGTTACGAGCCACAGCTTGACTAATCTTCGGAACAAATGGCATCCATGTTCAGAGAAGATGAGCTTTCATCGGCGGAGGATATTAAGAGGGTTCTCAGCAGTGCCTTGGACGACGAGTAGGAAGCGTTGGGCTTGGCGCTAGATCATTTTTGCGGAACGGCCTTTAGGTTCACGGAAACGGCGTCAGAAGCATATGCAAAGCTTGGCGAGAGCAGACGAGACTATTGGCCAGGCGTAGAATGTCGATAATTGTACGTCATGTATGTATTGTTGTCATGTATTGTCACATATTTGATGCTAAGTATCCTACTTGCCATGTCTTTGAAGGATTATCCTCGAGATAAAGATCGATCGGATGGGTTCGCTATTGAGTTGGCCCAGTGTGCCTGGGGAAACGCCACTGTAACCAATCACCGTCATGGGAATCGAGGGGTAAGCGCGAGGAGGCCGTAGTGGAGCGTTTTTTATTGAAGCGTCTTGGCTCGAAGCGGTTGGTTTCGAAAAGACTAGAAGTCACGACTACGAACGTCGGTCTGGCGTGGTTGTTAATTTTGCTATTATGAGATTTGGTGGAGCTGCTGTGAAATGGAGGACGAGCTGTTCTGTTCTCGAGGGGCGACGAGCGGTGCAGCCCCAGGACCGACCAGTAGAGTCGCCTATCGCGAGACCATGGCGCCATGCCACGATTGAAGTTATATTGATTTCTCTGGTGTGATTGATCCCTGATCATTAGAACACCTTTTTGGGCGGCAGTTCGTGGACTATGAAAGCAGCCGTTCAGACGGTGGACTATTTAACGATTCTCGGCACATGTTCACAGAGGTATGTTAAAGTTCGAGTGTGTCAACCTCAATCAATGGTCAACCGCTCCATCCCATAGCGTCAGAGTCAGAGAGCCCGAAGGTGTGGTCCGTTCCAACGGCATTTTCATGAGATTCGTTCTTGACCAAAGATGACATTCATTACGTGGTAGCGCTGTTACGGTGAAAAAACTAAAAAAGGCTACCTGTCGTGCTTCCAAATCCACGGAGTGCACGTAAGGTTTCCCAGATGGCAAGGGGCGTGGTGCATCGGATCGGCCTAGATGGACCTCTAACTAAGTAAGCTCATAACAGGGGTCACATCTTCCGATTTACATCAGTACCAATTGTGAGTAGGAACTACCTTCCCTTGTTTGCTCAAATCATTCTTGTGAACTAATTCCAGGTAAAGGAACTTCTTCCCGATTGCGGCATGCGGCAAATATTACTCCCACTACCGTAATCGCCCGCCTCCGCGCCAATCGATACGATGCAATATTTTTCGTTGATTGCCTTTCTTTTTTTATGAGATTTGATCGTTTGTTTTTTGTTTCTTTTTCGTTTTTATGCTTATTAGACATGATTGTCAGGCCGAGACAGAGAGAACCACATCGGTGGGGTCCCGCCCACGAAGGAATGCCCTTGAAGATCAAGGCGCCGATGGGTCGAGGGTGATCAGAGTGCTGTAGGTGATCTAGTGATCAGGAATTAGGAGGGTCGCAGGAGTAAACATGCCTGGGAAAACAAAAGGTTCGAGAAAGATTTGTTATACCCACGTGGACTTTGTTCACGTCAATCGATAAAGATAAACATAAAGAAAGATCGTATAAAGGGAGACCCTCGAGAGGAGGAGTACGGAACGAGGTAACTAGAGGAAGGCCTTAGTAGCCGATTTATCTGTGGTAGGATCCCTCGCCTTCTCTCTGTTCCCGACCCACGGAAGAATCTCTTAATTGGATCCTTTTGTGTGTTGCGCTTCATTTTTTTGTTATTTTATTCGTGTTTTTGTTATTGTGTTTCGTTAATAAATTCTTCACTTGTCGTGTGTCGTCTCGCCCTCGAAGCGGCTCGCTCCTTTCAGTGTAGTCCTTAGGAGGGGTCTTGCATGATCAACTAAAACGTTTCCTCCTATATTAGCGACGATCAAGACCGTGTTGGAATTGAAGGGAGCGGCCAGGCAATTCAAATAGTTAAAGGACTCCCCAACTCACAAATTGCACGCTCGAATCTTCCATCGCAATCCTGCGATAGCGGCGGATGCGGCGGGCGTGACGCCGTTTTCGGGGAGAAGATCCCGGGCCCACTAATTCAGATTTGATTTCTTTTTCATGTTGAAGTATTTCTTCATATGATACTCACAGAGATGTTCATGTTCTTTCTCATCATGTGTGGGTGATAGAACTAACGATCAAATAATGGCCGACACTTAGTCAAAAACTTTTTTATTATGTTTGATAAAAAACTGGTGAGCCGCTGAAAAAGGCTAAGGTGCAGAGAGGTCATTGATCCTGACCGATCCAACTGCCTATCGCCGCTGGCGTGCTGTGGGGTACCCACCTCTATATAGGCTTGTATCGAACTGATTCTTAGCCATGGGGTTGTCTAAGCATAAGGAGAAAGGAGTACTGCAGTGGGTGCGAAACCTACCCTGTGCAAAGGCTGGAGTGGAAGTCCAATTATCTAGTAGAATACTTCCTCGCGGAGGATCATAGGTAGGGGATAGAACAATGCTTAACTCTTCCAACAGTTTCCCGATCAACCTCATGCAGGGCTATTGTTGTGTCGACGATAATCAGTCAGTTGTATGAAAAAACAAGGCGAACCAAGGAGCGCTAAAGCAAGGGGTTATCTTGATACGCCTCAACAAAATCGCTGGGTCGATAACCGCACTAGTAGTATAGAAGTCAGTCGAGTGGCGTCTGTCGTCGCTTAGCTGGAGCTCAATTAGATAAGATTCTAGACAAGTCAGTTGTTTTCTACAAAGAATTTAAACACTGGCATGGTTGCAGGAGAAAGTGTCGAGTGGTAACTTTTTTTATGTTAAATTTCAATGTATGTACATAGTACGGGAGGCGAGAAAGGTGTGTCTAGGTTCGGGATGTGAGTGTAAAACGTCGCAAAATCGGTACCAGCGATGGAGACTCGGGCAGGAACGGTGAAGGGCGAGTTGGTCGCAAACGTGCCGTCGATGCTCGGGATTCGGTTAGTCAGCCAGTGATGCAGCGCCGTCCTGTTGGTGGTTGTGTGAAGTTTAACTAGCTGGTTTTTGAAGGTTAGACTGCAACATTACTTGTTATTTTCAGGGAATGTTTGGAGACGGTACTCTTAGTGAAATGTACACTCGTATACTGATTATTGGAGAGACGGTCTTCTTATTGAAACGCATACTCGGATTTTAATTATATGAAGAACGGGTGACAATACCAGCAAATATGCAAGGCACTCCGCGCTCTGGTTTAGATGCATCGAATCTGAACCAGAATCCAAAGTCCAAATAGAATCCAAAGTTGATCCAGCATTGGTGATGCGTATGGATACACACTGATTGACTTGCAACCTGTATTATTTGTTGTTACAGTTTATATTAATACATATAATTCAGCTGTGTCTCACCTTTTTTGAACTTCACTGTACTAATAAGCATGGAATTGACGCGAATTTATTTATCATAGTAAAATGCAGTTTTTTTTCACAGTACACATCTCTTTTTTTTGTAGATTGGGCCCTTTTCTATAATCAAAAGGGCAATGTTTTTGGCACTAATCAGTCCCGTACTTGAGATGCGCTCTGCATTCGAATCGTAGTGTCTGTTCGAAAGCTTGTGTCCCAATACCAATAATTTGGGGAAGGTCAACAGATTAGAAGTAGTGCCTTTATCTTCTCAGACAAGTCCGGTACCGAGGTGGCGGAGGGATGGAAGGTGGTTGACCCAGCCGAGTATCGAATCAAGATTCAAACACTGGATCGCGTATGTGCGATGGTACTCTACTTGCCACTGCACCAGGTCCCCGTCCTTCCTCTGGGTGTTAAAAAGCACTTATGAGTCTGCGAGCATGCAAGCGAGACAAAGTTTGGCACTCATTAGACATCTGATGTTACCTACATCGTTTGGAAAGAATAAGAATGACGGGTTTTCTAGTCTTTCTATGAAAAAGTGAACAAGTATTTGGTTCATGTTATCGATATGAACTTTGCTCTTAATACTTGCTTCGTCCCCGTGTTGTCTCATTCGCATATTTATTTATTTCATACACTCAAAGGTGTGTCTAGCTTAGAGGGCAGAGTTCTCAACCATGAAAAAGAAATAGACTGACATGAAAATGCAAACACGTCATACAGAAGTGACCATTTAAAATTAAAATTGAAAATGAAAGGATTCCCATCACAGCAAGTTGCCTGCCGAGATGAACTCCCATCTTTATTAGCAGCCAAGCACGATAGTCGACTTCCCTAGTAGTAGAATGAAGTTCCCAGTTTTCAGAAGTCATTACATTCATGGGGTACTTTCCAAAACAAATAAATAGCTTGCCATCTTATAGAATGGCTACGTTATCAAAGTGGACACCAGATTAACGATTGAAGAAGTCTTCGAGAAATCTAACTGAATAATCTTCAGGATCCTTGTGCGACTAGCTGTCTACTTTTCGGACAGAAGGGAAAGATCGGAAGGCAGGGGCTAATCAGAGAAACGCCGCTTGAAATGAACAACGAAATAGTTATCTTCAGATCGAGAACATCATTATATCATAAAAAAACACCAATGCTCTATAAACCAGTGCTCGAAAATATTGCGGAGGCTTTGAAAAGGAAGGGGCTCTCGTCCTGGAAGTGAGTGAGCGGAACGGGTGCAAGTTCCTCGACAGCCTTGAAGAATGGTGAAAGGCTGCACTGGAAAATTCGAGTATTGAAGACTATGCCTGGACTGCTCCAATCGAATCAAAAGCTAAGATTCAGCACTTCTACAAGATTAACTTTCTTCAGTTTTTCTCTGAATACCTCACCACCTGGTGATCGGAGTAATTCAGTCGGGAGGCGATCAAGCCACCTCGCAGTCCGGTAGAAGAAGTTGTGAAGTGTAAAGCATGGTTTTTCCTCAAAATTTAGGCATTGTGTAGCTTGAAACGGCTTGTTCTACCACTGCTTGGGTGGAACACCTGATATTTGCTTGATCTTAGTTCACTTTCGTTCCTTAAGATACGAAAGGCGAGGGTCAAGTCAGCTCCGATTCTCCTGTGGGTTAGCTGTGTTCGTACAGGCGTTTACAACCTTTCTGTGTAACTTGGCCGGTTAACATAATTATTACGAGAAAAACAACTGAAAAAAAGTAGTCTTGTAAAAGTCCGTTGTACTCTCTCTAACTTCGATATATCTTTTTTGCGAACTGCGAGATACCGGTGGAAGAGGCTAGAAGTAGCGTCACTAGCCCCAGGTCGGAAGGCAGTTAGCCCACNGTAGCTTTGAGCTACCAGGACTAGCGCTCAAAACCCCTGCCGCCGGAGCCCTCGTTGTGCAACTAAGTGCACCGAGGTCAAATTTTTCCGGATTTGCTTTTCTGTGAGGAAAATTCAAATGAAAACTTCTGAAGACGATTGAAATCGCTCTTTAACCGAAATCGCTATCTGATTGATTCCGCAACTATTGTTTTGTGTTTGGGAGAAAAGTTGGTGCGGAGCAAATGAGTGAGCTTCATCAATTTACTACTAGCAACCTCCTTCGTCTTCTCTACTTCGCTGAGAAGTCGACCATCATCGATAGCAATTGGTCGTCTAGACGGATTCGTCATAGAGCGTTGTAATCCCGGCATGAAAGGGAGCGAGTAAACGGACCGAGGTCCTCTACGAATGCAGTGTTTATGTTGTAGTCACAAAAATTCTTACAAAGCGGTTATTGCGGAGCCATCCTAGACACATATCTGAACGGTTTTCAACCTTAAGCTTTCAAGATAGAGAACCAAGTGGAAGATTAGAGGTATGTACTGGTACGGTAGCTGCTCTTTTTTTAATATGCATTGTAATCATCTACAGAAAATCATAAAAAAGATTAAGTATTCATGACAATACAAAGAAATACTCGATATGCTGCAGAAGTGAGAAAACAGACAACACTGGCCTGTTTTTTGATCCTAACATTGATCGGCATGCCTAAGTGAGATGCTAAGTGAAGGAGCGAGAGCAAAGATTCATGGACGCACAAGAGTGTTTATCTAGTTAATAAACGGCAGAGATAACGCGGGGCCTATCTTTCAGGCCCGATATTTACGATCTTGTCGGTGCTCTTGTACCTATAAGTGATCTTTTCATGGTTATCAGGATTTCAACGAAATGAGCTTCCGACAATTTCGCCAACCTTTTCTAAAGCTGTTTAAGATTCGTGTCCCTAACTTACGTTTCAGATACACTTCATGATGATAAGATAAGAGACTGTAATGACCAGCAGTAGCACAGAAGCGGGCTGTCCTACAGTGGTTGCCGGAGGCTTCTATTAGCTCAGTATCTCGTCGGTGTTGGAGCTCATGTGGTTCCAGAAGAAGGACTCGGTTTCGGTTCAAGTGACTGAAAAATCCTGCTGAGTTCTAGCTCTATGCAATCTAATGCAAAAAACTGAAAGCGATTCACTATGAAAGTTTTCAACAGCACATTTTTCCAATCGAGTTGTTGCGTTCGATTTGCCCTTGCCCTACACCTTTAGGTTCCCACCATCCCAGGACGATCAACTTATGAACGACGATTCGGACAGGGCTGTCTGTTTTGGCGGTGTCGTTAAGGAACGCGCTAAGCCTCGGGGTACCAGTCGAAAAGCGAAAGTCGTCCCATCGTAGATTCAGAAACGTGAGCCTTAACTTCGACGAGCATTTTTCAACCACCACAGACTACATCCGTCTACGGGGTGACCCCGCCATAGGCCGCTTTCATAGTCCGCCGGCCAGCCGGCGTGCCACGAGGCAGTGCTAGGAGGAGGAGGAAGGCAGAGGGTCGGTCGAAGGGCCGAAAACAAAGAAGAACAAGATCAAAAACCAATCAACCAGGGGCTTGTACAAATGGTTTTTGATCTTGTTTCTCCTTTTATACAGCCCTTCGAGGGGCTGACCGACCGTCTGCCGCCCTCCTCCCCCTAGCACTGCCTCCCATAGTAGAAGCAGGAGTAGGCCTCAGTAGTTGAGCACGGCCGGCCGGCGGACTATGAAAGCAGCCATAGACGACGACCCCGTGTGCTCAACTACTGAGGCCTACTCCTGCTTCTACTGATAACTAAATTGCCTAATTTAACTGGGTTAATGGGTTGTTACAGACACCATTAACTTCCTTCATGGTAGGTTGTAGCGATTATCCAACATGGCAAACTGGTCCATCGCAAATTTCTAATTCGCTGACTGAAGGCTTTGAATTCCCTGATGATCCGAACTTTTTACAAAAAACGATTTTACCATTTGAATCACGCTACCCTGTATATGTGTCTGCCACTGTAATATCCGTATATTCAAGAGATGATTCAGTGGCACTATTTAATGCAAACGATATTCTCCATCAGAGAAATCTACCGTGGAGAAGAAGCAACATTGAATCACAGCGCGAAGCTTATATACAGCTTGCGCAAAAAGTATACACATTACAGCAGTGAACATTGCTTAGCTAAGAAAGCTCGTGACAATGAAGCTAGTGCATTAGATGCTTAGATGCATAAATGCTAAACAAAGTCGCGACTGGTCGCGCTACTCCCGCCACCACAACCATACAAAGTAACTAGTTGTGAGCAATTAAAACAACACAAACTAAGCACAAACCAAAATATCACTTGCGGGTAATCTCCTGAAAAATCTCCGACCGACCGATTCTGCTCTGCGATGATGACGGCTCCTTTGAACTTGATCGAACTACGAAACGTCCAGAGCATCAATTCGCAACCACGCCGAACAGACCACTACGTCGGCGAATCGAACCCTCGACGACAGGGAATACGCTGTTGAGCGGAACCAGATGAAGGGCGCGGGAATACAGGACGAACGACGAAAGGCGAACGGTGGAATAGTCGGACGTCAAAAATGAATAGAAGCAATGGGCTTATCGGGGAGGACGAATAGCAGGCGGAAGTGAATACAGCGAAAGGCGAAGGCGCTACGGCGATGGAGGAGGAAAACGTGAGAAGGGATGACGACAAGGAAACAAGCACTGATTGCGAGCGCAATCGAAGCACATTTCCGAGGCTGTGGCAGAAGGTTAGAGTTTACGCCTCTAATAGGATGCTAGTGAATAGGAGGCTTCGGCTGGGTAAAGAAGGACATTGTGACTTCCGTTGCAGAAAGAGCACGAAATCCCGCACTCTTCAGGGTGGCGGGCTTGGAGGCACCTGTTACAGAGACGAAGGTTGGACGCTTGAACGGCGCGTGACACGGGATCTACGA